TAAACCAAACAACCTACCTCAATTTTTAAAATTTTAAGTGTGGTTTGTTTTTGTTTTTTTTTTTTAAACTAAGGTTTGAAATCTCTCTGCTCCTGTGCTTTAGCCAGTTCTCAAGTAAGGGCTTAAAGCTCACTTCCCGTGGTGCCAAGTGTCTGCAGTCGCCCACTGCGGTTATTTGGGAATATCTGCGCTCTGTATTTGGAGCCATTGCCGACCTCTTTCTTCCTCATGTCCTCAAAGTGTCTAAGAACTAGTGTACTAGTTTTGTGTTACCAACCTTTCTGTGTTCATCCAGGCTATTCACCTCATGTTTACACTGATACATGACCTTGCTTGCCTGCCTGTGCAGTAATTATGTGTTTGTTTATTTTCTTATTTGTGGACTTCAGCAGATATATGAGGTTTCATGCCTTTCTTTGAAAAGTGAGTTTAATCCTTTGGACAAAAAGCTTCTTGTTCTTTGCTGTCTTTGAGAAACCTCATGGTAATCTTAGAGACTTTGTAGACAGTTGTATAAGCTTGTCAGTTGTGAGAACTCTTAGTGCTTCCAATGGAATGAAATGATATTGCTCTAAGGATTCAAGCTACGTCTACTTGGCTTTGAATCCTGAAAAGACTTCTGTGTGCCAGAGTGCTTCTGGAGGTGTGCGTGTGCTAGAAAGTAGTGTTTAGTCTTCACAAAGCAGTTTGCTACCTGAAGTTGGTGTGGTGGCCCTAATTTTAATCTTTGTAATTCCAGTGGCAGTTTTTTTGTTGCAGAGTGTAAGGGTGGTGAGACACTGGAAGAGGTCGCCCAGAGAGGTGATAGAGGCTCCATCCCTGGAGACATTCAGGGTCAGGCTGGATGGGGCTCTGAGCAACCTGCTCAGAGCAGGGAGTTGGACTAGATGACCTCTAAATTTCCCTTCCAGCCCAATGCCTTCTATGATTCTATGACTTGTTTGTTTGTTAACCTCTGAACGACTGGAATAGTTGTTAAAATTTCATGGTGGAGGGAAAACATAGAGTTCATTCAAAAGGTGATCCTGAACAGCTTTTACCTATGCTAACAACAGAAGCAAAGGCAAGTTGACAGGCAAAAATTCACGATGAGGGAAAGATCTGAGATGACTGCATGACTGAGTAGCTGATAGTCCAGTGGGACATTCCTCTGATAAATCTATTTACTGACAATACGATAGCTGGCAGTATTAACAGAATTAAATAATGGTTGTTTCCTGTGCTGTCCTTCAAAGTTTGTGGACAAATTCTAAGTATGTAAAGACATGGGAGTGTATATGGTTCAGAATTCATTTTGTCAATTTGTTGATTTACTTTTTTGGGTTTTTTCCTTTGTAGGAGAGGAGTGTGGAGATTGGAAAGAGTTGATTAAACAAAAACTTAAAATGATTCCTGTAAAAACTTGCATGAACAGAATATTTTTGCATTTTCTACTGTTATTTTTCTTTCTGAAAGAAATGAACTTACAACAGAGAAGTTTGTTTACCAAAGCAGAAGACTGCTTCACAACTGTGCTAGTCCTAAATTTGTACTTCTCAAGCAATATTTTCTACAGGAACAAGCAGTTTTGCTTACAGTGTGTGTAAATTGTTTTCAAAAATAAAATAGTAATGCTGATGATGTTCTAGACTAATAGCTTATCATTATATGATCTCATATTAATGCCATAATTCATACTGATGTAGACCTTCTGATGTAGTTAAAACAGTGAAGATAGAGCAGCATTACTATATTGACCAACACAGTATATGCTCATGGTGTATGTCAGAAGGTTCTCAAGCTCTATAGCATTTTTTCCAGGCTTAGTTTTGTGACAGTAGCATGTCAGGTGTTTAGCAAACGGGAAGAAGTTTGCAGGGAAGAAGTTTGGGAGTTTTGTTGCTTTTTTTTTTTTTAATTGAGCATGTGTAAGAGGGCAACATCTGAGCAGTTTGCAGGAGGATTTGTTAGCCAGTCAGTGCCACCCCTAGAGGGATGAATGCAGGTTAGAGTGTAATTGTTTTACAGTAATTTTGCATCTGGGTTTAAGTGAAACTGTTGCTAGGATGACCAACAGCTGAATGGAAGAAGTAAGAGTGGAAAAAGTTTACTAGTCTCTGGAGTGTTTTAGGAAAGAAGATTACTGTTTGGTTTACATAAGCTTTCTTTAGAATTGTCCTATAGTTTAGAAATTATTCTTACAGACAAATTAAAATAACCAAGTGATTTTCCTTTTTTCCAGGAAAGAGCATTTCTCATAGTCATGATACATGAATGTTTGGAAATAAGATTTCAATTGCTACTTAGGTTTTCAGGACTTTTTTTTTTTTCCCCTCTGGAAACTTAAATAGACCTATAGTAGACAGTGTTTAAAGAGATGTGTTACAAGACTGTAAAATGAATTTCAGTTCGCTTCCTGAAATTATAGGCGATGTTAGAAGCTTTTTTTTTTTTTTGTAGCAAGACTTGCTGAAATTCAGCGTTTCCTCTGAAATTCTGGTTTCTTAGAAGTGTATGGGCTGGTGTTTTCTAATTCTTGATCTTTTCCTTTAAACTTTATCTTTTTGTCCTATTTCTGCTTGCTTTCTTTAGACATAAATTCTTCCTGTGCATTGCTTCTACCTTTTTTTTTTGTGTGTACGACACTTATTTTCTTCAGCTTTAAAATGCTCTTACCTGCCTTTTGAAGTAGTTGAGTTGTAATGGCTGGGTGGCATACAGATCTTTGACAGATTGCTCTGCTCAAAGGGGAGGGGCTAAAATTTAGTTTTGGTACATATATTGTGTATCTATATGTTTATTACTTAAGGGATATAGTCCGAAGGGGAGCAGCTATCTCTATCTGCATTAACTGCTCTGATCAGACCTCTGGAAAGCAAGTCATTATTGTGTTGTTTTTGCCCCTCGCCCCACAAATAGCTGCATCAATTTCATGCATCAGATATGCTGAGCTTGCTGTTACATAATACAGTCATGCTGTAAGCACTTCTTGATGAAGAAGGATGTACACGTACATAGATAGCTGCTATGTATTTTAAGCCCATCTGCTGTCGTAATGCTTGTTCTTTGAGGAGGAAAGCGATTAAATGTGTCTACTAGTTGTAGACTATGTGAATCTTTATTTTACTGACAGATATCCGTATTAAGTTATATTTAATCACGTTAGGTACTGAAGTTATTTTACAGACTCATAAGAAATAATCTGCTGAAGAAACTCCCACAGCAGGGAGTTTTTCTTGTAAGAGAGAAGCTGGACTTGATATGAATAAAACATGAAAATCTGAATAAAATATAAGAGTCATCTTGCTATGATGCTATTGAATTGCCAGTACAAGTCTGTATGTGTAAAGAGCAAATAACTATATTCCGTATTGTTAGTAGTATAAAAAGTTTAATAATAGGATTTTTTTGTTGTTGGAATTATAGTTTTTCAACTAGAGATCTTTCTCAGATGCCTTGTTAGGGCAACATGGAAAAGACTACTAAGTTTCTGTGCTTTAACTAGTCTTGCTATGGTTGGTGTTGAAAGAGGAGGTTGTGTATCTTCATTAAAATTTCCCCATTACAGGGAAATATCCTGCTACTCACTATTAATAATCTATTGTGTTTTTTAATAGATTGAGGACTTATGTTTAAATCTTCAAGGTTTCCATCCAGAAATGTTTACATGTGTTTTTTTGTCTCTGTCCTGCCATCAGTAGTGCCTTGTACCATCTAACTAGAAGCACAGGTAGTCTTCTAAAAGCTGTAGTGCCAGAGAAGATGAGAAATTTTGCTGATGGGAAAAGGTGCCATGCTGGACCTTGCCACCAAAGAGGGGCTGGTGGGCAACTTTGCCTGCAGTGACCGTGAAATGATTGAATTCATGATCCTCAGGGCAAGAAGAAGAGTATATAGAAAGCTCACTAGCTTGGACTTCAGGAGAGCAGACTTTGAACTCTTCAAGGACCTGCTTAGTTGTTTTCTGTGGAGCAAAGCCTTGGAGGGGAGAGGGACCCAAGAAAGCTGGTTAGTATTCAAGGATCACCTCCTCTGAGCCCAGGAGCGATGCATCCCAATGAAGAGAAAGGTGGCCAAGAATGCCAGGAGGCCTGCATGGATGAACAGGGAGCTCCTGGGCACTATTAGTTGTAAAAAGAAAGCCTCCAGATGGTGGAAACAGGGACAGTTAACCTGGGAAGAATACTAAGAAGTTGTTCAAGCAGGCAGGGTTCTGGTTAGGAAAGCTAAGGCCCAGATAGACTTAAATCTAGTCAGGGACATCAAGGATAACAAGAAAAGGTTTTTTAAGTATGTCAGTGAGAAAAGGAAGAACAGGGAAAATGTGGGCCCTCTCTGTAAGGAAATGGGGCATCTGTTCACACAGGATATCGAGAAGGCTGAGGTACTGAACAGCTTTTTTACCTTGATCTTCAGTGATAAAGGCTCTAACTGCACCAAGTTGCAGAAGGCAAGGACAAGGAGAATGAAGATCTGCCCGCTGTAGAAGACCAGGTTCAAGATGATCTAATGAACCTGAAGGCACACAAGTCCATGGGAGGACCTGATGAGATCTATCCGCAGGTCCTGGGAGAACTAGTGGATGAAGTTGCAAAGCCACTTTCCATCATATTTGAGAAGTCATAACCCCCATTTTCAAAAAAGAGAAGGAAGGCCCAGGAAACTACACGCCAGTCAATCTTACCTCAGTGTCTGGCCAGATAATGCAGCAGATCCTCCTGAAGACTCTGCTAGGGCACATGGAAAATGAGGAGGTTGTTGATGGCAACCAACATGGCTTCACCAAGGCCAAATCCTGCATTACAAATTTGGTGGCTTTTTAAGATAGAGTTACATTGGTTGATAAGGGAAGAGAAACTGACATCTTCCTGGACTTGTGCAAAGCATTCAACACTGTCCCACTTGACATCGTGGTCTCCAAGTTGGAAGGACATGAATTTGATAGATAGACCACTCCGTGGAGAAGGAGTTGACTAGATGGCTGCTCTCAAAAGAGTTACAATTAGTGGCTCAATGTCCAAATGGTGACAAGTGGAGTTCCTCAGGGATTGGTACTGGAACTGATGCTGTTTAGCATCTTTGTTGGTGTTGAGTGCCTACACAGCAAGTTTGCCAATGACGCCGAGCTATGTGGTGTGGTTAACACACTGGAGGGAAGGGATGCCATCCAGAGGGACCTTGGCAAGATGGAGAGGTGGGCCCAGGCCAACCTCATGAAATTGAGGCCAAGTGCAAGGTCCTGCACCTGCACTGGAGCAATCCCAAGCATAAATACAGGCTGGGTGATGAGTGGATTGAGAGAAGTCCTGCAGAGAAGGATTTGGGGGTGCTGGTTGATGAAGTGCTTAACATGAACCAGGAGTGTGCACTCAGAGCCCGAAAAGCCAACTGCATCCTGGGATGCATGAAAAGTGTGGCCAGCAGGTCAAGGGAGGTGATTCTGCCCTTCTGCTCTGCTTTTGTGAGACCTCCACCTACAGTGCTGTGTCCACTTCTGGGGCCTTCAATACAAGAAGGACACAAACCTGTTGGAGTGATCCAGAGGAGGGCCACAAAGATCATCAGGGCGCTGAAGCACCTCTCCTATGAGTAGAGGCTGAGAAAGTTGGGTCTGTTCAAACTGGAGAATAGAAGGCTCCATGGAGACCTTATAGTGGCCTTCCAGTACCTGAAGGGAGCCTACAGGAAAGCTGGAGAGGGACTTTTTATAAAGGGTATGTGGTGATAGGACAAGGGACAAAGGTTTTAAACGAGAGCAGGGTAAATTTAGATTAGACATGAGGAAGAAATTCTTCACTGTGAGGGTGGTGAGGCACTGGACAAGGTTTCCCAGAGAAGCTGTGGATGTCTCCTCACTGGAAGTGTCCATGGCCAGGCTGGATGGGGCTTGGAGCAACCTGGTCTGGTGGAAGGTGTCCCTGCCCATGGCAGCAGGGTTGGAAGCAGATGATCTTGAAGGTCCTTTCCAGCTCAAGCCATTCTAAGATTCTGTGAACACACAAGTGGCTAAGTCCATCATTTTCTTGTATTATTTTGAGATAAATGCCTATTTCAAGATTATCAACCGAACCCCCCCCACTCAAACTTGTGGCAACATGTAGGTGTCTTTCTGAGCCAATTCTTCGAGAGGAATTAAATTCCAGTGTTCCTGGAGACCTTGTACACATAGTTGCTGGATTTTGTAATTATGTCACGAGGTAGACTCACTGAATTTCTCACCGGGTAGATCTTGGTGCCCTTCAGTTTAATCTAAACCCCCAAACTCATGGGCAACAGCAGAGGAAAAAACATAGCACTTAAATCTTTTTGAAACCGTGATATGAAAAATTTTGTTCAGAAACAAAACAGTTTTTTAAAAAATGAGTAAGCATAGTAAATACAGCATTGATTACATGGAAAAACTGTGCATTTTCATTCAATGAAAATAAATAAAATGTAATGCTGACTTTTAAATTTTTCTCTAAGCACTAAGCTCACTGATAATCACAGTGTAAACCATAACATATACTAGAAGGTTAATAGAAGCAGCTGAATGAATAATGCTTAATTTTCCAGGCATAGCAGATTTATTTTTTCTTTTAAATCAACATTGTATTTTCTTGTTCAACATTCTTCTTAAGAGAATCATACTGTGATTTACTGCAAGATCATAAATGTTTAGGAAGCAATTCATTCAGTAAAGTTAAATCCACAGGAAGTAAAGATATATTTATGTTACAGGTCTCCTCTTCAGTAAACCTTCTGCATTCCTCAGCTGCAATCCTGCCACCTTGTAATTTCATTCCGTGTAGGTCTGTTTAGAAATGCCTTTTCCCTCATCCTCCAGGTCTCTCTTCCTTTGTGCTTGCTGACTACCCTCCTGGTGGGAGGCAGTGCCTGATGGTGCTCATTCTGTGCAGACGGATGAGAAGGAATACTTGACCACTGAGCTTTCACTGCAAACTTTCCCCTCAGGGAGAGTTGTTTGGATGTTTGTTCTACTGGTCCCCAGTTTCTCTGAAACTTGATAAACTTCATATCTCTGAGACCTCTATCAAATTTTTTAAAAAAATAAAATAAAACATTTATATGGTGGTCCCTAAGAGATGGGGTGGTGCAGGTGGACACAGAAGTTCATTTCAGGTTATGTGTTGCCCTGGCTTTCTAAGGAAAATTATCTAATGAGCAAGGAAGTAATGGGGGGAAGTAAGTTCTTGTGGCTTTGCTGTGGTTGAGGGGATGTGTGTCTGTGTGCATGTTGGATATTTTTTTTGTGTTTTAAGGTGACGTTTTTTTGATTGCTTCTTTCATTTTCTGTTTTTCTATAACTTTTATTGAACTAGCTTACTGGAAATCCACTATTTTCTGCATTTTAGTGGATGATCAGTGAGGGAATTTATTATATAATCTAGATACCAGTCGTAACTGATAAAGTACTTTAGTATCAACCCTTGATCCTTCTCCAGACTTAAACTCGTTGTAGTTACTTGACCTGGAACTCTTTTAGCAATTTTAGTTGTAATTTGTAGCCCATGTTAAGTCACTGTAATAATATGCCAAAAATATCTAAAAATTACTAGAAAAGCCTAGCTCTTGCCTAACTGCTGCTAGGTAGACAGTTGAAGAATTAATAGAAGATAAAATTTTACTATTGTTTGGGATAACTTAATGCAAATATTTGAATTAATTGGCCTTGCAGAATGCTTTTGGAAGTCTTGAGTTGTTTTGTAATGATGTGCATTATACTTAAGAATTACTCAGGAGCACTTCCTTGTACTTATCTCTTCCCACCTGGTTCATCAGTTCAGTTTAAGATATCAGTAGCTGAGCTATTAAATTATTTTATATTTGTATTTTCAAGTTCTTCTTGTGAATGAGAAGTTGCTTAATCTAACAGTAGAACTATTCTTTCTGGGAGGTGTTTGAGCTGTGCAGATTTGTGACCTGACGGTAGTCTGGATATTGGCATTTTCTTTCCTGAAAGTAGAATGATGGCCTACAAAAGGAGCAAGGCTAATACTGTCAAATACTGTTAAATATTAATGATTCTGTCAGAGTAGGCTTTCTTTCTTCACTGTGTGAAGTACTACTTTGTATGAATTAGTTGATGTTTGCTGATCTGGAGTTGTATTCTAGTAAATTAGGACCAGTGGGTGGCATTTGTATCACAAGACAGTAAAAAAACAGGCACTCAAAAAGAAGTAGTACATTCCAATGTAAAATTTCTCCTTTCCATAAGCTTCTGGAGATTTTCATGCTTTTGATCACTCACTCATGTCCCATGTGGTTTTTTCTTTTCTTTTTTTTCCTTCTTAATTTTAATAGTAGTTAGTTTAAGAGAAGTTTCAACATTTAAAATATTTTTGCTTCTAGTGAACCTTTACTCATTTCCATTTCTCTGTTCCTTTTGTATGTATTTGACCTTGCTTTTTCCTTGGTGGAGCCATTGCTGCGTAACTTTTACAATTTTCTCTGAAAGTGACAGTTTAACTGGCCAAATAAAACACATGGAAACTCTGGTGTGTTTGCAGAGCAGATATGCAGAATTACTTAGATGTTTTGGGGTTTTTTTCCCCCTGAAGTCAGGACTTGTAAGGATTCAAGTAGCTGACACAGTGCATTTATTTCTTATGTACCTTTCCCCCATGTTATTACAGTTATTCTTATCTGAGGAGTAGAAATTTATCTGGCATTTGGTAAGGGCACTTGACATGTCTGTGGGGTTATTTGATTGATATGCAGGTCAATAAGTGGGAACATGACTGGGCTGTAGAGACTTTAATACTGAACTGGCCATATCTTAGATTGTTAATCTTCCCAGAGCCAGCAACAATACTGCAAACAGAATTATTACGTGAGGGAGGTGCAGTGGAGGGAAGTCAGTGGCTCTTGGCCTATATGTGAGTACCTACATTATGCATTGAGAGGGGATGCAGCTGTCTCTGAGCCAGCTTTGAATCTTGAGTGGTGAAACTACGTAAGCAGTTTTAAAAATGAACCAAAACCTAAAACCAACAGGGAAACTGGTAAAACTACTGTGGTAGATATCTGAGTAAAGATCCACAGGTAGGATAATCCAGTTTTGGTGCCTGGTGAACTTTTCTATATTGTTCCTGTGCCTGGCTTGAATCGCGTGAGTTTGTGTGAAGTCCCACAGCGTTTCGGTGTGTGAGGAAGGGCAGAGCCAGCTGATGTGTGCTGGTGCTCTCTAGGAACTGGGTAGGCCTCAGTGCTTCTTCTGTCAGCACAGAATAGGAAAGGCTTATTCATAAATTCAAGTGCACTCATTTTGCAGAGTCTATATGAGTGAGTGTGTTTGAAGTATAGCATTTATAATACACCCCTGGGGAAACTGGACTTTACTGCTCTCTGGTTAAAGTGTATCTGAGGATTATAGTATATAACATTTTTCTGATCTAAGCCAGGTACATTTATGCAGGATTCAGCCATAGCAGTATAATCTCACGTCTACCTTGTTTATGTGTTTGTTTATTTATAATAGAAATTTTAACACTTTGCTTAACTGAGAGGGTTTTCTTTTTTTTTTTCTTCCAGCTGATGCAGCTCAACAATTTCAGTATGCAGTTAGAGTTATTGGAAGCAACTTTGCTCCCACTGTTGAACGAGATGAATTTCTTGTAGCAGAGAAAATCAAGAAAGAACGTAAGTGCATCTTTGTTTCTATATGTTGTTAATGCTCACCCTCTGAAAAATCTCATGATAAAAATTCAGTTAACTCCCTGGTTGGTACTCATGAGTGGCTGTTTGTATTCACAGCTCAGATTTTTCTGAATGCTCAGCTTAGATTTCCCTTGCTGTCATTTACTTGGTATCTTAGCCACCATGAAAATAAAGAACGATTAATACTACACTCCCTTCAGTTTAATAGTACTCAATCTTTACATTATTTTTGCGATGTGCACTTCAGAAATATTACACTTTGGCATAATTAACTCTGTGAGCACCTGTCTGAAACTTGCTGAACGAGCACCCTGGGAATTGATGAAATTGTTTATATGACTTCCTTGATATTTTTTGCCTTCAGTTTCTCTACAAATTTTCTGCAACGACCTTCACAAAGCCAAACCATTAGACTGTGACAGTGTGAGCTCTGTTGCAGTTACATTCCGTTGTGCTCTGTGCTGCTCTGGGTCAAGTGTTGCACTCTGCGAATCTGATGGAGATGTGATGCATTTCTGAAAAGCCAAATACTGCTCTCAGCAGATTATCTACTTTCCAGTAGAATATCCAGAACCACTTACTTGAAGTATGCAAATTAAATTAAAACTTTATATTTGAGCTTTGAATATTCAGTCAGGGAGATTGTATTAGGGTAGCTGAAGTCAGTGGTTGTAACTATTTTAAAGTATGTGTTTGTGTTCTGCTAATGCAGAACTTCCATGACTTGCTGGTAGGCAAGTAAGCCCATCAGAATTTCTCCAGATATGTCTTCAAAGCACTGGAATCTATGATAGATGCTTTCTGCATGATGAGTTTTTACGTGCTTTAGCTAGTACTAAAAAGCACAGCATATATTCTTTGGGCCTCTTGCCAGGAGTTTTCAAAACTACTGTCTCCCTCATCTTCCATCTCCCCAGCTTTAGCTTGTAGGCTGGTTTTAGTGATCGTGTAGCAAGTGACTGGATATATCCTTCGAACTTTACATTTATTTTGAAGTTACCATGCAGGAAGTGATTTATTTGGCAAAGTGCACTTAGCTATGGCTTTTGATGCCTATTAACATTTCTAACATTTAACAGCAATTTTTCAATTATTAGAATTTCTTCAAGATGTTTCTGTTTTATCTTTTATAGCTTTTTCTAGCATGAGTCTTTCTGATGTAACGTGACTTTTCTGAGAACTTCTTAAAGCTTGAAGATGTTTTTCCTCTGAGCAAAGACTTCTGTTATGTAACTGGCAGTGATTGAGACTGTTATTTTTCTGGAGAGATATATATATATATATAAGTTGTGTGACCTTGGAATTTTACTTGACTTTGAGCAAGTGGCATTACTACTTTTGTTTCTTGCTTTTATTGTCTAAAATAGGAACGATTGCACTTAGTTTTGTGAAGGAGTTTGTAGCATTCTTTAATGCTTATCTGCTTTCAGTTACGTTTTAATTCCCTAAACCTATAGAATGGCAGATCAGACTTTTAAAAGGGTATTATTTAGAAGGCATATATTTTGGTTACTCTAAGCAAAACAGATACTTACATTGTATCACTTCTGATGTAAGAATTTTCAGGACTGGAGTGCAGATAATATGAAAACAGGCAAAACTGTATGGATAGAGTGAAACAGTTAAGCATTAATTTTTCTTGAGTACACTTCCCAATTTACCACAAATACATTATTGCAGAATTTATACTTCTGTCAAGTCTTTAATCTTTTTGTTTGTTTGTTTTTGATAGTTGTGCGACAAAGAAGGGAAGGGGATGCTGCTTTGTTTTCAGAACTCTACAGAAAACTTGGTTCACAGGTAGTGTAATAAATATGTAAAGAGTAAAGAAACTGGAAGCACACGTGCATTCTTCTGATGTTAGATTTATTTTGGAGAGTGCTTGAGTTGTTAACAGTGTTTTTACTGAGAGGATGTCACGCAAGAAAGTTGGGGAATCTCCATCTTTGGAAAGAGTTAAGAACTTCACTGGACACAGTCATGCTGTAGATGACCCTGCTGTAGATGACTCTGCTTTGAGCAGAGGGGTTGGATTAGATGATCTTCAGAGATGGTTTCCAACCCCAACCATTCTGTACTTTTTGTTTACAAGTTACTTTTCCTTTTGCTGTTACTGAGAAATTAATTCGGGTTTAATTGTAAATGAAAAGCATTTTTAGTTTGAGTCCAGTTGTATGAAAGGGCACTTCAAAGAAAGGAAGAAACTCTGTAAAAATAGAAGTGTTCGTTCCATATGTAGAAGTAATGAGTTTTCTCTGTCATTTATTTTATATCAATGCCTTGCCAGTATATTGATTTTTATTAATCTAGCGTTCAAAGGGTCCTTATGCTTCTGAATTTAAGTGCTCCATGTCTTTAATGTTGAAGATTAAGGGTTTGCTGACTTGGATGGTTCTGCTAACACCGTTAGTAATCAAAGAATACTGCATGTAGGTATTTGGACAAAAGACGTTAGTGTGTAGAAAGCCCGTGAGGCAGGAAGATGGAGTGGGTGAAAGGGGGGGAAGATGTGAGAATAGAAGTTTAGCTGAGGTATTTGAAAAATTACTGTTGCTAATCTGTTCTGGATTCTCCCTGAAATTGAGTATTTAGTAAAGCAGAATATGATGGGCAGTAATAAAATAAGATTTCCAGTTGTTATTTGCACATAGCTGATTTTTGGCAACAAAAAGTAGTTAAAAATTAGTAAACATAAAGGAGGATGTTTTCTATATAAAAAAGATATTTTTTTTCCTTATTTTGCCCTTTCTATTTTTGTTTTTCTCTCTTCTGCTTTTTGCTCATTAACCTATGTATAGATTATGGCAGAGTTTTACAGGACAATACTAAGATTCGAAGGTTATGTAAAAGTGATTCTTTGAAGAGCATGACTAGTCAGAACTGAGTTTTGCCCCTCCCCTCATCTGTACTTATTGATTTGTTAGTGCTTGGAGCTAAGTTGCTGTATAACTCTTCCTGTTTGCCTTGTCCTGTGAGTTTCTGTATTATCTGCATTGGTTCATACAGTGAAACAAGTGTCACTGCTTTAGATGCCTGTTCTGATGACCTCAGCCGTTGGTTTCAGCCTCTTCTTCAATGTATTACGCTATATGATCTTCTGCTTTTAATTGATTTTCTATAACATGTTTCTTTAGCTTCTGTACTATGTTCCCATACCTGTGCATTTGGTGAGCAACATAGCTGCAGAGTGCCATGGCTATAAACTTTGAAACAGAATGCCTTGTCCGTGTTCCTATCAGTTCGGTTATTCTTCCAAATATAATATGAGCTTACATCAGCTGTCACCTCAAATTTTGCTCCCTGCTCATAAGTTCAAGATTCTTTAAACTTGCTTTTTTTTTTTCTTTTTTTCTTTTTTTTTTTTTGGTGCTAGCATCTTGAGTACATGAAATTAGTATTGTCTGAATACTACCTTCTTTAAAGCTTTCTCTTCCAATTATTATTCAGTCAATTATTACTAATGGTGGACAATCATTTCTCTTTCCTCATGACCTTAGGGAAGGGCAGGGAAGGAATATCTGGTTTTTGAATCAACTAGGCTTTTGTTTCCTCCAGCAATTCCCCTGAAAACAACTAGGAGAAAGAAAAAAGCTTGTTGAAATCTATTTTAACTTCTTTTCATCCGTTACTCTAAAGAGAAAAGGAGGTCAGTAGTTATTTTAGTGGCAGCTTGTCAACTGAGCAAACCATGCTTCTTGAGCACTTAAACTTACTCTATCCGGGCGAGTAGAAGTAGCAATGTTGCTGCTTTTTCACCCACTGTTAATGAGTTGCTGGATTAGTTATTTGCAACAGATGCAATACCTCTGATTTTTTGCTTGTTGTTGAGATTGAAGCAGATGGTGATAGGTTTCTGCTCTGTGTAATATAGAATGTCTCCTTGCACTCTTGTGTAACAGGATAAAGCTTGGAAAGGTTTGGTCAGTGCACTCTGCCCTGAAGAAAAATGTTCTGTGGTCAAAGTTCTTAGACCATGTAACACAGACACCCAAAATGCATAATCTCCAGAAAAGCAGGAAAAAGAGGTGAAGATAAAAATCGCTTTAAAAAAGAGGATTTCCAAGTGACCTTATAAGTGCGTTTTACAAGACCGATAGCACTGAATTACATTGCTTCATAGGGGATGGAATCTTTGTTGAATCTTAGTGTGACTGGAGTTTCCTTTGTATTCAGTGTTGCTTAGTATTCCAGGTCGTAGCCTAACTGATATTGTGAAGGAACTGACATGAGTTTCTTTGACTTATTCTACCACTTAATATCTGTTACAAGGTTCTATGTCCCTGATCAATTCAGGTGCAAGCATTAGTGTCACAGGATGATGGCGTAACATTTCTAGAAACATTTTAATATTTGCCATAACTCTTTGAAGTGTTCTTTCTGTAGCTTGGGCTTTAGCATTGTTCTGCTGGTAAGTTTTCTGCTGAGATCTAAAGCTGCTGAGAGATTTATTCTAGTGGTCCATATGTATCTGTCTGTTAGAGACTATATTGCATATTCTTCAAGTTTCATGCTAACAGTTAATAATTTTGATAGCTCTCTTAAGCAGCATTTAAAGTAATAGAAATTGAAAGCCTCAAGCTTTTGAAGTCTCCCTGTAAAGGAAGCTGAAGGGGAAAGTGAATAAAAGACAATTCTTTGCTTAAATTTGTACCAAGAATTTTCCTTCTTCACCTTTAGGTGTAGAGTAGCATCTGCATTTGAAATGCTTGAAATGGTAAGAGTGGTAGAAGTTCAGTTTTCTATAAACCTCTTTCATAGTAGCTCTTAATTTTAAATTAAGTGTACTTGCTGATCTCAGACCAGGTACGAATTCATGCTTTGAATACAGTGGAGAAAATTATTAAAATTGGCACTTACAGAGGCTGCACTGCACATTCTCAGTTTATTTGAGAATGTAAGTCTGAGTTGGTCTTCTTTGTGTGGAAAATCGATTTATATGCACACATGTTAGTAGACTGGCTAATTAAAAATTTCATTGCTAGCCAAGAGTTAAACTAATTGCTGCTTGTCGTCATCTTTTTTTATAAAGGGCATTTTGAAAAACAAATGGTCAATACTCTACCTCTTGCTTAGCCTTAGTGAAGACCCACGTAAGCAGTCTAACAAGGTAGGTAGATGTGTGTCACTTATTTTAGCTGTCATTAAGAATCACTGTCAACACTTAACCATTACCTCAGGTTGTGTTTGTATGTGAGACTGAAAAGAAGAACACCCTTGTCACGAGTATCTGCCATTTTTTTTCTGTGTATTTTTTTATTATGAAATAAATGTAAAAATATGAGCTCTCCAGCATTTGTCGCTGAAGATTAGATGGATGGAGTTTTTGTTTGCCTTCTACTTGGTGGTGTAATGTCTGCTCATGTGATGATGAGTTTGGAATGGAGTAGGGAGAGCAAAACTCCTCTGGTTGCAGCTCTGCTAGCACCAAAGTGCTTTTTGCAGCTATTGCTAATGACAATTCACAGACAAAAATAAGTTGTATTGCTAAAAGCACTTTTGCTCCCTGTAAACAGCTTGCTTTTTTTTGTCACTATAGTTGTAACAACAAATTTTTCTTTGCGTAAACATGGTCTTCAGTTATTTTTTTGCGTTCCGGAATATTACCCTCCTGTTAACTAAAAACATGACTTGGAGCGACTCACAAGTGTTTTCTTTTTATCAAACCCTTTCTTTTTCAGGTATCAAGCTATGCCACGCTTTTTGCTCAGGCATTGCCACGGGATGCTCACTCAACCCCTTATTACTATGCCAGGCCTCAGAGCCTTCCACTGAATTACCAAGACCGCAGTGCTCAGTCTGCCCAGAGCTCTGGCAGCATGGGGAGCAGTGGGATTAGCAGCATCAGCCTGTACGCTCTGAATGGGCCAACACCAACTCCACAGTCACTTCTTCCAGGGTAAATTAAACTGTTCCATCTTACAAAGAAGTTTGGAGAAGAGTGGAGACTATTGGCTGTTTTTCCTTTTTTCTGCTTTTTCTTTCTCCCACCCTCCCCTTTGCATGTTGTTGGAAGTGCCACTATAGGTGCATAGAAACTGAGTTCTTAGCTGGACAGTTCTGAATATCAGGTGCTGTCCTATGACCATACAAAGCCATCAAATGACTGGCCAAGTGTATCCATTCTTAAACTTAATATTAGCTATCTGCTAAACAGCTGAGATTTTACTGGATCCACTCATTTGGATTCTAGTGCCAAGTCCTTTTCCAGATTTCTCCATTCTCCAAAGCCCTTTAAAATAGCCTTTATTTTTTTCTGTAAATGCCCTGAGTTAAGAGTCCTTGCTTAAGTTCCTTTTACAAAATATTTATCAGCAAGTGTCAAATTAGTAGACTTAACATCCTCTATTTTTGAATGGGTGACCTTTATTGCATCATCTCACTTTGTTAAGCTTGTTCACAGAGCTTGGCTGTTGTACTAGAGCAGTACTGTATTTTAAGTGAACAGGGATTTTCTTGGGAAAAAAATAAGAGTTAACTAAAATAAGAAAGTTAATTTAAAAAAATACCTATTGGAAAGAACACCGCTTAACCATCCTACTGGTTCAGTAGTGGATTAATTGTCTGTTCATACCATGGTCAATCTACATTTGGAACCTTAAAAATATCAGCACAACCTACCCAGTTCCTGACATATTCTTGGTCTGACCTGTCCAGACTGTTCCATTTCACTGCTCTCTCTTTAGTCCTGTAATCTGTGAGCTGGGCAGCCCCAATTAGATCTTTCTCTGAACTTCCTTCCTCCAGAACTTCTCTTAGTAAATGTTTCCCTTTGTTTCCTTGAAGGGTAACAGCCTAAATTCCGTGTTGTACTCTAGTTAAGGCATTACAAACAGGAAGCACGACAGAGTTGCTCTGTCTTGCAGGCTCTGTGCCTGTTCACTTCCTACAGTCACCCAAATATGATGTGTGACCATCCTGTGAGTTACAATGTTTCACTTGAGAGAGGAAAGCTATTCCTTGACTTTTTTTTTTTTTACATGAATGTTTATATTGCAGATGACTTCCAAATCTCTCCCTGCAACTGCTTTCACAGCCTTGTGGAATTGTGTTGCTTTTTTTTTTTACACACCCACCCCCCCCCCCCATTATGTGTATGTTTCCAAATGTTTACATTTGAGAGAGAGGCAGCACAACTCCTTGCACATGGTTGAAACTTTTTTTTTCCACCCTCATGATAAAGAAATAATCAGAATGTTGGCTTTTAATCTTAACATTTTTCATGTTTAAAACTTTTTGTGAGATGAATTAACAAATTTGAGAGGAAGGGAAATTGAAGCTTGTCTAGGGGCTCCCTCCTTGAGCACATCTTCAGGCACGTGATACAACCTATTCCAAAGAGTAGAGTAGCAGGAAAGTCAACTCTTTCTCTATTTTCCTTTAGTTCTTTGGCATGTAACTAAAGTTTCAAGTGATAACAGAACCAATATTTGTTGTTAATTTTGGCTGATGTTTATTATTACTGTAGTTGGCGTCAGTTTTAATCCATTTCAGCGTATCTGCACAATTCAGTGTGAGGAAACTCAATCTTTGATATGAATTAATTTTTCAAATTTGTACCTCCTGTCTTTTCTGTAGTTTGTATTTATTTCAAAGTGTCGTCTTAGATGAAGCAATAAATTGCTTATGTTCTACACTATTTTATAAGGTTCCTTTTATTAAAAAAGAAACCAACACAAAACATCCATGAAAACCAAACCATAGTTGGTGCATTTTTCAAAATTTACATACCCCAAACAGGTGATGTGTATAGTATCAGTTTTTGAAAGATGTCTCTGCTTTTGTGTCCTTTTAGACAATCCTATCAAGCTCCAGGTGTTGGAGATTGCCTCCGTCAGCAATTAGGGTCACGTCTTGCATGGACTCTAACTGCAAGCCAGCCTTCTTTACAAAGCACTACCTCAAAAGGTTTTTCAAATGCTGCCTCCCGTGGTGTGCCAAGGTCAAGAAGAGAAGGGGATACAAGTGGTGAGCGAAGAATATTTGTTAAGATAGTTATTTCCTATATCCTCCATCCTTTTTTCTCAAGATGTTGAATATTTGGAGGAGTGTTTTTTCTAGAATGTACTCAAAAGAAGGATAGAAGTAAATATGCAAGACTAGTATATCTGGCCACAGTCTCTTTGGCTGGTTTGATAATGTGTCCTGGTCGTCTTAAAAGACTGACTTCATTGTGGTCATTGTCAGAAGCGAGTGATTGTAGTTTGTGAGTAATGATCATTCTTGGTGGTCAGAAGATGCTGCTGCTTTGAGAAGGTCGAGTGCTCAGTGAATAGAACTAGTTTTGTTTGTGCTTCTGTCTTTTAAAACTTGAAAATGTGCACTGGAATATAGAGCTCTTAAAACTGTTTTTTTCTTTAAAGTAGCATACTGCAGTGATGGTATTTGGCAATTGACATAAAATACTGTC